CAGCCAGAAATGCTAGGAGTTGATTTCTCAACAAAATAAAGCATGGAGACAGGGATGGATGGGGGAAATTGCTTTGAATGTAAAAAATGGATTAAAGGATGAGTTTACCTTTGGGAACATGTTACATGTTGCACCCGTTTTTAGGGTGGAACATGTAACATGTTCCCACAGCCGCTGCCAGCTGCCCCCTCCCTCTGACAGATAGTACGGGGGGAGAATTCTCCCCGTACTATCTGTCAAATTTGAAAACAGCGCAGCCATGCATAGCTCCACCCACACGGCCGTGTCATTCATTCACGGACTTCCGTGAATGAATGAACTGCAAGTCCCAACAGACTTAGCGGCTGTGGGCTTGTAGTTTTCAGTGAACTACCATGGAGCTGTGGAGCGCTGTGGTAGTTCATTGAAGCTTCCTGTCAGAATATCTGCTTGTCTGCAAATCCTGTACAGCAAGCAGATATTCTGACAGGTCTGCAGGAGACCTACATGGCATCAACAATCTTCTGATCGCTGGTACAATGCTTTCCAGGCTCCTGTAGACAAAAATAATAAATGCACAATTTTTTACCTCCAAAAAAAAAATGTGCATTTATTATTTTTGTCTAAAAGGTAAACTTATCCTTTAAATAGTGTTGTGGTTTGTGGTGCTCAGGTGCAATGTATTTTTTTTTTGGATCCATTTTGTTTTTATTTTGCATTGCCATTTTTCCTTACATACAGTATTGCAATAAATACAATAAGGTATAAAAGTGAAATATGATTATGATTCCTAATTATTGTGTTCGGGTTGGATGGAGGTGGATCCATCAGAATCTCTGAATCATAACATAAATGAATCTGAAATTCATTTCTTTACATTTGTTCTTTCGGATCCATTTCGTTTTGATTGTGCATAACATTTTCATTAATATAAAAATCAGCTCATTCAATTTCTGTTTGTGGGTTGGACTAGCAGGGAGGACTCAGAGTACATACGTAATCTCCCGAAATAATAAATTAACAGGTTAACACAAATATAGCCAATCTTCCAAAATATACAAAACAAAATCAAATATATGAAACGAACGCAAATATAAAAAAAAGCCCATAAATATTACCGAATTCCAAAAACAAATCTTTCTTACATAACAAAATGACAAAATGAAATCATTAATTAACAAATTAATCCGAAATGAAACAAAAACATTTTTTGTCATGCACATCTCTAAAATGAACCAAAGTAATTATAATTTTTAAAAAATTCAGTTTGCCTGGGAAGAGTGATTTTAGCCATGCTTAACGTGAAACATTACTACAGCCAATGCTCTATCTAAAATTTCGATTAATACTGCTCTTATTGAATCTAATTATAAAACACTTCTTCGCTGGTACTTAGTTCCTACTTGTCTTGCTAAAATGTATCCATCTGTGTCACCTAGTTGCTTTCAACAAGAGGGCACTATGTTCCACATATGGTGGAAATGTCCTGTGGTTCATAGATTTTGGATCCGAATATTTAACTTAATTTATTCGGTAACGGGAATTAATATTCATAGATCACCGGCAGTAGCCTTATTTCATCTGTTGCCCACTGATATTCCCAAGAAATCAGTTAAATTATTTCTTTATCTTTTGTTGGCGGCATCTATAGCTAGATGTTGGAGACAGTCAACAATTCATATCATTTATCATAATTGGATTATGATAAATGATAAACTTACTAGTATCATTAACCGCTTGCCGCCCTGCCACTGTGTATATACGTGTGCAGGGCGGCAGTGGAGCGCAAAACCACGTTTAAAAACGGGTTCCGCGCTCCCGACACTTTCGCCGGCAGGGGGCGCACGCGCGCGCTCCCGCCGACCCGCGGGTGACACTATTTGATCCAGGAGGGATCAATCATTAGATTTCAGCCAGTGATTTTCTGGCTGAAATCACATGATCGGTCCCTGTCCTATCCTGTCCTGTGTTGACATACACAGGGCAGGATATGATGTCATTCTTCTCTGCCTGGACACATTCCGTTCCAGACAGAGAAGAAGACATCCAAAAAGTGAGTACACAAGCACTACACTACAGTTAGAACACTCTAGGACACATTTAACCCCCTGATCGCCCCCCCCCCTCCAGTTAACCCTTCACTGCCCTGTCACCAGTGTTACTGATCAGTGAAGCGATTTTTACTGATCAGTGTCGCTGGCGACTTTCGATAGAGTTAGCGCCCCTCCCAGATAGCGTCAGATTGCCCGCCAGTACACCAATAATCCCGTTTAACCCCTTGATCGCCCCCCCCTCCAGTTAACCCCTTCACTGCCCTGTCACCCAGTGTCACTGATCAGTGAACCAATTTTTACTGATCACTGTATCAGTGTCGCTGGCGACTTCCGATAGAGTTAGCGCCCCTCCCAGATAGCGCCAGCTTGCCCGCCAGTACATCAGTAATCCCGTTTAACCCCTTGATCGCCCCCCCCCCCCAGTTAACCCCTTCACTGCCCTGTCACCAGTGTCACTGATCAGTGAACCAATTTTTACTGATCACTGTATCAGTGTCGCTGGCGACTTCCGATAGTGTTAGCGCCCCTCCCAGATAGCGCCAGTTTGCCCGCTAATGCACGGGATTTTTTTACCAAAAACATGGAGCAGAATACATTTTGGCTTAAATTTATGACTAACTTTGAGTTTACGATATATTTTTTATAGCTGAAAGTAGAAAATATTGTTTTTTTTCAAATTTTTTGTGGTTTTTTTGTTTATAGCGCAAAAAATAAAAAGCGCACAGGTGATCAAATACCACCAAAAGAAAGCTCTATTTGTGTGAAAAAAAGGACGTAATTTTCGTTTGGGTGCAGCATTGCATGACCCGCCAATTATCATTTGAGTTAGTGCAGCGCTGTATAGCAAAAAAAGGCATAAATTACAGTATCTATACCATAGTTTGTAGACGCTATAACTTTCACACAAAGCAATCAATATACACTTATTGGGATTTTTTTTACCAAAAACATGTAGCAGAATACATTTTGGCTTAAATTTATGACTAACTTTTGAGTTTACAATATATTTTTTATAGCTGAAAGTAGAAAATATTGTTTTTTTTTAAACAAAATTTTTGTGGTTTTTTTGTTTATAGCGCAAAAAATAAAAAGCGCACAGGTGATCAAATACCACCAAAAGAAAGCTCTATTTGTGTGAAAAAAAGGACATTAATTTCGTTTGGTACAGCATTGCATGATCGTGCAATTATCATTTGAATTAGTGCAGCGCTGTATACAAAAAAAGGCATAAATTACAGCATCTAACCGATAGTTTGTAGACGCTATAACTTTCACACAAAAGCAATCAATATACACTTATTGGGATTTTTTTTTACCAGAAAAACATGTAGCAGAATACATTTTGCTTAAATTTATGACTAACTTTGAGTTTACGATATATTTTTTATAGCTGAAAGTAGAAAAATTGTTTTTTTTTCAAATTTTTTGTGCGTTTTTTTGTTTATTCAAGCGCAAAAAATAAAAAGCGCACAGGTTGCCCGCCATCAAATACCCCCAAAAGAAAGCCTATTTGTGTGACCAAAAGGACGTAATTTTCGTTTGGGTGCAGCATTGCATGACCGCGCAATTCATTTGAGTTAGTGCAGTGCTGTATAGCAAAAAAAGGCATAAATTACAGTATCTATACCATAGTTTGTAGACGCTGTATCATGTCGCTGGCGACTTTCACACAAAGCAATCAATATAGCACTTATTGGGATTTTTTTTTACCAAAAACATGTAGCAGAATACATCCCATTTAAATTTTGATGACTAACTTTGAGTTTACGAAACCCCTTTTTATAGCTGAAAGTAGAAAATATTGTTTTTTTTTCAAATTTTTTTGGTTTTTTTGTTTATACGCAAAAAATAAAAAGCGCACAGGTGATCAAATACCACCAAAAGAAAGCTCTATTTGTGTGAAAAAAAGGACGTAATTTTTCCTTTGGGTGCGCATTGCATTGACCGCGCAATTATCATTTGAGTTAGTGCAGTGCTGAATAGCAAAAAAATGCATAAATTACAGTATCATACCATAGTTTGTAGACGCTATAACTTTCACACAAAGCAATCAATATACACTTATTGGGATTTTTTTTACCAAAAAACATGTAGCAGAATACATTTTGGCTTAAATTTATGACTAACTTTGAGTTTACAATATAATTTTTTATAGCTGAAAGTAGAAAATATTGTTTTTTTTTCAAAATTTTTGTGGTTTTTTTGTTTATAGCGCAAAAAATAAAAAGCGCACAGGTGATCAAATACCACCAAAAGAAAGCTCTATTTGTGTGAAAAAAAGGACGTAATTTTCGTTTGGGTGCAGCATTGCATGACCGCGCAATTATCATTTGAGTTAGTGCAGCGCTGTATAGCAAAAAAAGGCATAAATTACAGTATCTATACCATAGTTTGTAGACGCTATAACTTTCACACAAAGCAATCAATATACACTTATTGGGATTTTTTTTACCAAAAACATGTAGCAGAATACATTTTGGCTTAAATTTATGACTAACTTTGAGTTTACAATATATATTTTTTATATAGCTGAAAGTAGAAAATATTGTTTTTTTTTTTCAAAATTTTTGTGTTTTTTTTGTTTATAGCGCAAAAAATAAAAAGCGCACAGGTGATCAAATACCACCAAAAGAAAGCTCTATTTGTGTGAAAAAAAGGACGTAAATTTCGTTTGGGTACAGCATTGCATGATCGTGCAATTATCATTTGAATTAGTGCAGCGCTGTATAGCAAAAAAAGGCATAAATTACAGCATCTATACATAGTTTGTAGACGCTATAACTTTCACACAAAGCAATCAATAATACACTTATTGGGATTTTTTTTACCAAAAACATGTAGCAGAATACATTTTGGCTTAAATTTATGACTAACTTTGAGTTTACGATATATTTTTTATAGCTGAAAGTAGAAAAATATTGTTTTTTTTTCAAAATTTTCGTGGTTTTTTTGTTTATAGCGCAAAAAATAAAAAGCGCACAGGTGATCAAATACCACCAAAAGAAAGCTCTATTTGTGTGAAAAAAAAGGACGTAAATTTTGTTTGGGTACAGCATTGCATGACCGCGCAATTATCATTTGAATTAGTGCAGCGCCAAACAGCAAAAAAAGGCCTGGTCATTAAGGGGGGTAAATCCTCTGGGGCTCAAGTGGTTAACAATAATACTTCTAAATTTGAGTATACTTAGGTATATCTCTATTATTTAATGGACATATGGCTGGCCCTCTTTTCTTTCCTTCCTCTTTCCTTCTTTCTTCTCTCCCTTTTCTTTTTTTCCTTTTTTTTCTGATCTATTCTTTATCTTCTTCTTCGACTCTTTTTGTTTATTTTTTTCGGTCTCCTTATTTTTGTTAGTTGGTTATATGATACTGCCCATGCCTACTGACTGTTGGAATGTTTGCTACCCTATTGGGGTTGTGTTTTATATTGTTTGCAACATCATTGGTTAATGTATTCTTATGTGCCTATATATTCCATGAATCTGAATGTTTGCCACAACTCACCATGTAGGTGGGCTATCTTTTCCATTTCCTGTATACTACTTTTTACAGATTTTCAATAAAAATATTTAAATATAGAGTGAAACATTAAGCATGCAAAACTTTGACCATGCCTATGCCTGGTGTATGCCCTGACCCAGCTCATTAAAAGAGCAGGGCCCTCGATCCCCTCATGTTTTGCATTGTATTGGTATTGTTCTGTCACATGTTCTGTCCCCCTTTGTAATGTACAGCGCTGAGTGAACTATTGGCGCTTTATAAATACTGTATAATAATAATAATAATGTATCATCTGTGTGATGTATACAACCTACTATAGCCACAAAGTGTGTCTAAATTGCCTGCAATCTGCTATAGATATTTATGGGGACACCTTTTGGATCTAGTATGAATTTTAAGGCAAATCAAACAAAAAAAGAACAACAACAAAAAAAATGCAGTGTGAGGTTCCCCCAAATTCCATACCAGACTGAACATTAAATTTTATCTAATGCTAGGTCTTTAAGGTTTCTGCAGAAGCTCAGTCATAGGAAGGGGACCACATAACTTTTTGTTTGCTGGAGCACCCCTTAAAAATCATACCAAACATGAAAGGTCTGATATGAAATATGGGGGAACCCTAGTGCTTTTTTTCTTTTAACTAAACCACAACCCCTTTGCTTTGTCGTGGGGTTCTTCATCATTGATACCAGGCGCTTCACATCTACTATGAATTTGAAGGGGGACCCCATGCAAAATAAGCTACATTTACACACCAAACTGGATTTAAGGGAAAACCCCACACAAAAATTATGAGCATGCACCCCCTCTTCTGAACCATACCAGACCATATGCCCTTAACATGGGAGTGTTACCTTGCCAAGGGGGATCACCCTGGCAAAGCACCTTGACCCATTTTGCTTAGGATAAGGGTAATTCGGCCAGGGTTGTGGGGGTCTGTAGAAGGAAAAGTTTTGTAATCTGGAAGTCAAATTTAAAAATAATGGGACTGCTAGATACTGTCCCCCATGTGAATGAGTAAAGGGGTTCATAGTACCCCTACCCATTCTCAAAAGAAAATGATACCTGGAAATAAACATTTGACAAGTTCTTTATTAAATAAATAAAATTTCTCCAATAATATCACTCTTTGTAAATATATCATCGATCATGATGCCCACTGCCCACTTATTCACTGAAACAAACCCCCCACAAGCCCAGCTTATGTGGTTGATCCTGATTGCACTTCTTGCCAAGTAATAGCTCCTTGAACTGTCACCAGCTACAAATGGGAAGGGGTGGGGATAGTGGTGACATAATTGCCTAGATATAGTCAGTGGACATACAGTGGGGCAAAAAAGTATTTAGTCAGCCACCAATTGTGCAAGTTCTCCCACTTAAAAAAAAGAGAGAGGCCTGTAATTGGCATCATAGGTAGACCTCAACTATGAGAGACAAAATGAGAAAAAAAATCCAGATTATCACATTGGCTGATTTGGAAAGAATTTATTTGCAAATTATGGTGGAAATTAAGTATTTGGTCAATATCAAAAGTTCATCTCAATACTTTGTTATATATCCTTTGTTGGCAATGACAGAGGTCAAACGTTTCCTGTAAGTCTTCACAAGGTTGGCACACACTGTTGCTGGTATGTTGGCCCATTCCTCCATGCAGATCTCCTCTAGAGCAGTGATGTTTTGGGGATGTCGCTGGGCAACACGGACTTTCAACTCCCTCCAAAGGTTTTCTATGGGGTTGAGATCTGGAGACTGGCTAGGCCACTCCAGGACCTTGAAATGCTTCTTACGAAGCCACTCCTTCATTGCCCGGGCGGTATGTTTGGGATCATTGTCATGTTGGAAGACCCAGCCACGTTTCATCTTCAATGCCCTTGCTGATGGAAGGAGGTTTGCACTGAAAATCTCACGATACATGGTCCCATTCATTCTGTCCTGTACATGGATCAGTCGTCCTGGTCCCTTTGCGGAGAAACAGCCCCAAATCATGATGTTGCCACCCCCATGCTTCACAGTAGGTATGGTGTTCTTTGGATGCAACTCAGCATTCTCTCTCCTCCAAACACGACGAGTTGTGTTTCTACCAAACAGTTCTATTTTGGTTTCATCTGACCATATGATATTCTCCCAATCCTCTTCTGGATCATCCAAATGCTCTCTAGCAAACTTCAGACCGGCCCGGACATGTACTGGCTTAAGCAGGGGGACACGTCTGGCACTGCAGGATCTGAGTCCCTGGCGGCGTAGTGTGTTACTGATGGTAGCCTTTTTTTTACTTTGGTCCCATCTCTCTGCAGGTCATTCACTAGGTCCCCCCATGTGGTCCTGGGATTTTTGCTCACCGTTCTTGTGATCATTTTGACCCCACGGTGTGAGATCTTGCGTGGAGCCCCAGATCGAGGGAGATTATCAGAGGTCTTGTATGTCTTCCATTTTCTAATTATTGCTCCCACAGTTGATTTGTTCACATCAAGCTGCTTGCCTATTGCAGATTCAGTCTTCCCAGCCTGGTGCAGGTCTACAATTTTGTTTCTGGTGTCCTTCGACAGCTCTTTGGTCTTCACCATAGTGGAGTTTGGAGTGTGACTGAGGTTGTGGACAGGTGTCTTTTATACTGATAACAAGTTCAAACAGGTGCCATTGATACAGGTAATGAGTGCAGGACAGAGGAGCCTCTTAAAGAAGAAGGTACAGGTCTGTGAGAGCCAGAAATCTTGCTTGTTTGTAGGTGACCAACATACCAGCAACGGGCCAACATACCAGCAACAGTGTGTGCCAACCTTGTGAAGACTTACAGGAAACATTTCACCTCTGTCATTGCCAACAAAGGATATATAACAAAGTATTGAGATGAACTTTTGATTTTGACCAAATACTTATTTTCCACCATAATTTGCAAATAAATTATTTCCAAATCAGCCAATGTGATTGTCTGGATTTTTTTTCTCATTTTGTCTCTCATAGTTGAGGTCTACCTATGATGCCAATTACAGGCCTCTCTCATCTTTTTAAGTGGGAGAACTTGCACAATTGGTGGCTGACTAAATACTTTTTTGCCCCATTGTATTTGGGCAATGATATCACTGCTATCCATACTCCTTTGCTGGTGTGACTGGGCCAGTAACATCAGCAGTTGATAGTGATGAGGCAGGTGCCAGCACCCACTGCTTCCTTAGAACCATTGAAAGTAGAAAGCTCTTATATATAGAAGCGGTATTTCTACCACATCAATATATGATGTTCAGCTCCCACCAAACAGAAGATCGAACATGCAAATGTTTGTCTGAAAGTCCGAACAGCCAAAGTTTGGTCTGAGCATAGGTTTTTACTGAGCCATCAGCTCATCCCTAGTTCCTGGTCACTGACTGAGATAGTTTTGAAGCTAGTAGGTCAATATAACAGCCAAACGGCATTTTTAGAAGAAGTCAGTAATAACAGCTCCCCATATTCCTGTTATGAAAAGGTTTGCTTTAAAGAGAAGTTTTTCTCACAAAGATACTTAAAGAGTATTTAAAAAAATTTTATATATATTGCATTTTACCACTTAAATGTGTAGGCTGCAATTGTTTTTTTCCCTTTTTTCCGCCTAGTGATCCTGCAAATAACATATTTCTTGGCCCTGAGTGTCGAGACTCACTCCTCCACTGTATGGATGGAGTCAAGGTTTCCATGAACTACTAATGTGTCTTTGTTCATTTTAATTACATAGTGACTAATGGAACTAGTAGGTTACAGAAGAAAGAAAACCTTTTTTTTTCTCCGGTGCAAGAGATGAAGGTTCCTGCTCCTGCCTTCTGCAGAATGTAATGCTTTTTGCCAATATTACTAAATATGTCAACAATACAAATGGGAACACCCTATCCAGTTCCAAAGTTGCAGAATCTCAAGGCATAGGCATAGCATCAGGGGTCACAATAGCTTATGCTCCAGGGGGGCCTTTGCGGCCACCCTCTCACATTAAGCTTTGACACTGTGTCACCCATAGAGCAAAGTGCCTGGTGGGACAGTGGTATGAGAGGAATATGACAGGACAGACTGTGCCCCTGCACACCGGTGCCAGGCAGGACAAGGCCGCTGACTGGAGCTGAAATGATACCCAACTACTGCAGCAAGTGGTACACGGATCGTCTTCTTCCCACTGCCTTCCATCCCCTCCTCCTTGCACATGCCCCTCTGTTAACATGTCCCACACTCCTCCTCTCTTGTCACTTTCTGTCACCTCTACCTCTATGTCAGTCCCCGAAGCAAATCACCTGGGAAGGGAAGCCTCTGAGTACTTCCTATTCATTCAGCTGTGCAGCTGAGGCTGCAGAGATGGAGCTTGGGCACTGTGTCCTCAATCTCCTTTCTCTGTCTCAAAAAGTGAGTCATCAGAGGTTTATTTAGACTCCTGATATTTCACCAAAGCCCCCAATAGAGCTGTTAAAAAATATATAAAACACAATAAAAAATAAGATTGTAAAAACAAAATATACATATATAGTAAAAAATAATGAAAAAATGTAATAACAAAAATAAAAAAACTGCTGACACCCACTGCTCTACTGCCATCATCCACTGCCCTAATGCCATCATCCACTGCCCAACTTAGACCTATTTATCGTATACCAGGGATCATGGATCAGTTTGAATACATCAAAGTACTTGAAGAGGTCATGTTGCTTTATGCAAAGGAGAAATGTCCTTGAAATGGGTGTTGCAAAAAGACAAAGACCCCAAACACACCAGTAAGCGTGCAACATCTTGGTTCCAGACCAACAAGATTAACATTATGGAGTGGCCAGTCCATTCCCCGAACCTTAATCCAATAGAAAACGTGTGGGGTGACATAAAAAATGCTCTTCCTGCGGTAAAATACAGAGGAATTGTGGAATGTAGTCCAATCATCCTGGGCTGGAATACCTGTTCACAGGTGCCAGAAGTTGGTTGACTCCATGCAACACAGATGTGAAGCAGTTCTCAGAAACAGTGCTTATACAACTAAAAATTAGTTCAGTGATTCACAGGAAAGCTAAATCTTCAAGTATTTGAGTTTGTAAAGAAAAATGCAGACACTGCAATTTTTTTGAAGAGCCTAATATTCCCTTTTTCTTCCCTTTCTCTAAAGTAATAACAAATCTGAAACGTTTTTCTTCATGTTTTGATTTGGAATAGACTGTGCAGTGTTCCCCAATGCATTTGCGTGCTTGGAAATAAAAAGCTATTAGAAGGATTTTGAGCTTTACTCACTTTTTTGAACATACTGCTATTATTATGAACACAACTGTATGTTGAAATGTGGACTGTTTCTCCAAAACATTTTGAAATATCCTCTCCATATTAAAATAAAGATCTGAAATAACTCTTTATGCTCTTGGCGTATCTTGGTACGCGGTGCAAGCTGTGGGGTGAGGGGGCAGGTCAACTTTTGCATCGGGGCCCACAAGCTTCAAGCTACACCTCTGACTCAAGGTATCTTGTAAAATAATTTATACACTGTTAAAACTGGATGCAGTTTTGGGTGATTACCTGTGGATGGTAGTGTCATCCATATAAACTGCTTGGTTCCAGCTGATACTGTAGTACAGATGAAAAAATCCCTCTGTGTTAGCGAGTGTCTGTGGAGAGAGCAGTGCAATAATGTCAAGATCTGTTAAGGGGATTTGATCCACTCATGGCCAGTGAGGAGCCTGCTACTGTAGCATTTTATTTGTGTTTTTTTTTATGATATTGGAGGTGTCCTCTGACTGAGTTGGAGCAGCTACCACATCTACACCCTTGTGTTTTATTATTCATTTAGCCTCTCTCTAAGCTCAGCCTTATCTGCACTATTTTCTGTGGTTTTATTTAGTATCTAAAGTGCAGCTCACGGGAAGATCACTGAATGTCTGAAAAGATCAACAGTTATTTCCTTTACTTCCCAAAATGTTCTTGGCCTGAAAAATGAAAACGAATGCACCCAGCACATCTAAGAACAAGTATGCCGCAAAATATAACATTTTTGTTCTTGGGTTTTTTTATCCTTTAATTGGGATAACCATTAAACAGTCCCAAATACATGAGTATACATGAGTGGTGATAGTGAAGTTAGACAATCTGGAAATATGATAAAGAATATTCAGGGTGAAATTATATATAAAGAGCAGTGGGGGTATATCCTTAAAAAGGTGAAATAGATAGGAGTCTGCATAGGATAGGAAAGAAATTTTAGGTAAAGTGAAGATGCTGAAGAGCAGACATGAGATAGGTGTCCCATTGATTAGGACAGTGGTTTAGTAGTCCCTCTCCCTTTTCACTCTTAGAAGGAAATAGGTGCCCATCGTCTTACTTCAATAGTCCTCCTTTTTGAAGTCACTAAAGAAGGAATGCTATGTAAAGACTAGCAGGTCTCATAGGGTGTATGTAGGTCTGAATTAATGGGAATTCAGCATGTCCTAGAAACTCTTGAACCTGAGACATATGTTGCATGTGAGTACCTAGTTTTTATCAAGTTGCTATGCTGAAAGAATTTGGTAAATTAAAAGTAAAATTTTAAAACAAAATGTTATTTGTAGTTTTTAATTGATTAGGGAATTGTCAGGTTTATTTTTGCCATATGTGTTCCATTGCAGGGAATTACCCTTACTTGCTGTCCTGTAGACACCACAGGGAGTGAAAGGAAATCTTTTCAAAAAAAGGGAAATTACCTTATCATCTGAACCATGTCATAATTGAAATATATTCCTCTATCCCCTTTCTTGTGACAAATCCATTTTTAAAATGCTGTTTCATTTTAAGTAATTTTATAATTTATTATTTAGTGATTCAGGGAATTCACAATACCGGGGTATCCACTTTACATAGCATTCCTTCTTTAGTGACTTCAAAAAGCAGGATTATTGAAGTAAGACGATGGGCACCTATTTCCTTCTAAGAGTGAAAAGGGAGAGGGACTACTAAACCATTGTCCTAATCAATGGGACACCTATCTCATGTCTGCTCTTCAGCA